TTTTAAAAATCGAAGCGAAAAAGCAAATAGTTCTTTTGAAAAGAGCTCATTAATTAGAAACTAAGTCATGTGCTACATATTTTTGCTCACCTTTTTTAAAATATTATTTTATTACTAAAATAAGTAATGCAACCCCAGAGGGGTAGTTGGACACGGGGTCCCATACCTAAAAAATGAGTACCCTGATTAATGAACTACACTTGTTCTAAGACTGATAAGTTTGAGTATCGTCGCTTGTCGGGGAGAAATAGTTTATATTTTATGAATATAACTGAAGCACACGACTGACTTTCCTAAGCCAACTAGATGACCAACCCATTTAAACCTCCAACCTGTTGTTTATCTAAGTCTTGTTTCCAGTGCACATAAATAGGAGGAAATTGGTATTCATGCTGTAATTGCCATCAGCATCTATTGTATATAAACTGATTAAAAAGAATTATAAAGCTGGTAACTAGCTTTGAAATGTTTACGCAATTTATCAATGCATAGATGCAATAAGCATTTAGTTCAAAGGAACTGTGATCCCACAGTAGTCAGATGTTTTTATCTGCCTACTGAAAATCCAACATTGAATGATTCAGTAACAGTAAATTTGGCTGAGGGTAATACAACTGCTAATATGAACGTTGCTTTAATGTGTCCCTATTACATAAGATGAGTGTAAAACCAAGTTGGTATCAGATCATCTGTTGGGGATGATTGAGACAGTGACCATCACAGTTTCTCCTAGAATGCCTAAATACTGTCTATCTAGGGAATAGACATACAGGCTTTTGCTAAGAATTACATCAAATCACTTATTCAGTACTTGGATTATTCGAGCTGACTTTCCGTAGAAAAGTAACGAAATGAAATTGTGTAATGGTCAAGGGTTTAAGCTTAGTTTTTCAACATGGGTGTTAATAATACTTTAGATAAAAGACAGATACTATCTGTATCTGCAACCAGTTTAATCACAAAACGTGTAAAGTTATGCTTTCAAAAAGTAAACCACTAAAATAATCCCATTTTAGTACTTTACTAGAAAATTTATACTTAGTTATTCACACTACTATATAGTAGTTTAAGTATATCTTCTAAGTTTTATAGCTTGTCATCATGCATTAATTAAACTGATGAGAAGTTTGTGTATTAAAGAACGAAGTGATGCGCAACAAACAGATTCACAATAAATTTTCATACATACTTCTAACATCCAGCATTTGGTACCGCTCAGCACTAAGTTACTGTTCACAACCACATCAAAAATTCAGAAAGTTGTAGGAAACTTCAGCTTCAGTCATAAATACCACCGCCGATTGCTTAATGAGAATAACCAACTGATGAGAAATGTTTGAAAATATTGTTATACAGTACAGTGCAAAGCTCTGGGTGAGATAAGTAAGAAATTCTACCTGCTTGAACTGAACAGCTTCAAACAAATGCTACCATAAAACTACACTTTAAATTATCTTTTCATTCACCATACACAAACCCTTTGTATTGCGTAGAAAAGTCTCGTTCACTTGAGCCCTAGAATCCGCCAGTGGGTTCAAACGTCAACTTACCCGATAAAGTTTAGGGTTCTAAATAAGGTCAGTCCCTCATATTGTAGATAAAACATGCACCTGAAATCGCAAACCTGCATGCTGCTACTGGTTTATGTTTACGTATGAGTATAGTGATGGATCTCTTAAACTTATTTATTTCCTTGAAGTCAAACTGCACTAACTTATTCTAAAAGTAATAGTGCTTGTAGTGACCACATCTTACAACCCACTTCCTCATCGTGGAATTGCATTTTGTTCACGTACAGCTGCGACGATAGTACGCGACTTATGTTCCTGGACAACCTATATCGTTTTACTGCTCAAGTGAGTTTGTCATATACCAGTCAGTCCTCCTGAGCCAAATGAACATTTAGAAGGTCTGAAGTGTTTCTTTAAGATGTACCAATCGCTTTTACAATTCCTCCCTAAACACACCCACAATTAATTTCCAAATAACAAATATATTAGCCCATGTATCAATATTTCTGACCAACTTATTTACGATAATTGTTTTGTTACTCTTAATACGGTAAAGGTTTTTCCACATAATCTGTAGGTGCAAGTGTGACGTCATAATCATGTTTTGTTCTGGATCATATGAACTGGCAATAGTATCAATGCGTAAACATTTCTCGGACTGAGAAACCTTAATTAAGCTATTTTCAGGATCAGACAGCAAGTTTGCACGTCATAAATTGCCTACGGGACACTAAGACCTAAGGATAATCAACCAGGAAAACATATGGTTCACTGAAAGTATATGAAAATAGATTATCGCACTGATTAAATCCCAATATATTAAAATTCATAAACTATGCAACATTGAAATCGTGTGTCTAACAATTAGAACCACTGCATCAAGAATTTGTTGTGTACAAAATGAAAGTCGACTTGTTGACAAGATAAGAAATATGAAGATGAAATCATGATCTCTTTTGACTTACCATCCTTATTCACTTAAATACCTTTGATAGAAACAGTGAATTTTAAACTTAGCAAATTCCCAAACCAGAGTATAAGAATTGGAATTTCAGCATCTTCCTAAAAGAAGCTTGTTTATAGACATACCATAAATGGATACGAAGCTTCTGATAACGCATACAACATCTTCCTCTATGGTTGGGTGAAGGATAATTAAGATTGATAAGAAGCTTGAAACTTCAAGTTGGTATCGATTATGCCCTTTACATTATTTATCGTACTCTATCTAATCCCACCCTTGCTTTACAAGGTCACCTTTTACATGCGGCTGAATTCCTATCCGCCTGTTCTTTGTATGCTGCTGCGAAGTGTAACAACTTAAACCAATACACTTCTGTGAGAGGTACCAAGCTAATTTTGTCTCTCTCTCATACAGTTGAAACTTTAAGGATTAACATAAAAAGGTAAAACCTGTGTCCAGAATCAATTTAAAAAGCCTATTTCTTGTTTATTGATACTTGTAATTTCCCATTCCTATACTGAGTCAAATTGCTTAACCTGGGTTCGAATCCCACTGGCATGCGGGCATACCCAGCCGATAAGTCCTAAATAGGGAGAAAGGTGCGTTCCGGATTCCACTGTTAGTCACCAAGATGAATACACTCTATTTAAAGAACGATCCGCATCACTCACCACAACAAGTATGAATTGTGTAAGGATTGGCTTTTCAATTCTCATTTAACGAAATACAAAAAATGAGGTAATCCGGTGTTGCACTAGTTTCCTCTACTCATCCATACATAGCCTATGTAACAAACTGTCAAGGTACATGTATTGGATAATGGTTCTTGTGACTATTAGTCATTTTACTGGTTACTCATGACAGACAAACACCCCAAAATATTGACCTGCTAATCTGTTTCATTAAAGGAAGAATGAGGTAACTAGAAGTTTACAGCAACAATGAAATAATTCACTAAAGAGAATTCAAAGTGGTATGAAAGATTAGTGTATTTATCAACTGCATAAAAAGAATGGCTTTTATTTCAAGTTAGTGATTAGATATTGAAATGTAAAATATATTAGACTATGAAATTATCAGAAAGACACAACTTCTATGACTTATCACGCAATCAATATCTCGTATCTCGTATTGAGTCGCCCTTACAGATTTCAACAGATTAGTATGAACAACTTGTAAATTATTCACTGTATCCAGAGTATTTTCATAAGTCTTTCGCAGAATATTAATTATGAATAAATGAAACGAAAAAATGTAGAAATACGTCAGTCAGAAATTTATAACCTATTAGGGAACAGTAGGAAAGGCTACGAATTAGGTTAGCATGGTAGTTCTAGAAATAGGGTGATTACCAGCCATATGAGTTAACAAGATAACAAAGAAAAGAAATACAAAAGAGTGGAAGCCCTGTTCAGTAGATAAACTGCTACAAGAATATTAGTTCATTATGTCTTCAGGAGAATTGTTACTTCGAAAATGTCATCTAAAAGTGTGGGCATGAAACTTTCCCTATAGATCCAGTAATTAAACCAAAAGAAAAACCAGCGTTGATCCAGTTAGCATTTAAAAGACATCAGATGGTGACAAAAGGTATTCAACGATTGAAAGCCATACTCAACATCGCATTCTATGGAGGGGAACTAACTTCAATGTATACGACTAAGTGTTCAATATAACAAGTGAAAGTAGGTCATTATTCATTGGATGTCACCTATAGGTGCAATTAATAATTTACATATACTTGCCAAAGTATTGACAACGAAATAATAGGAAAGTGGGTTTACCAGTCGTTTTCTTGAGCAACAAGAGATCTAAATTCTGAAGGTTCGAATGAAACCAACTCGATTACTCACTATGTGCTTGAGACCGGATCTGCTGCATTGTATCCATCAAAACATTTACAGTTTAAAGTGAGGTTCCTTGTTTTTATAAATCCTTTATTAACCAGTAAACTTGTCAGTATATTCAAAATCGGACACTTGATAAGCTCAGCTAAAAAGCTACTTCTCACTACACGTCCAGTTATGAATAAAATTATATCCCTGAACCAGAGGATCAAGTGATAAGACGCCAAAGCAGTACTAATAATCCCCTTGTGATTTCATATATACCTTGTTGATAAAGGTTAACAGTTATGCAATGTTGAGCAAGTAGATCCTATTAAAATAGAAATATACTCAGGAACCTTGTGCATTCTCATGCAATGGATAGTGAGCCATACCTATTGTGAGACGGCCAATGATACAACCTGCCTTCCCAAACCTCGATAGGTGGATTGAGGCTCAAATCCATGACTCATAGGTTGAAAGTTATCTCCCTGAACCTATGAGGCACAGCTCTACTGAAGATCCTGCAAACAATTAACACAGCCAACGGTTGATGTGAAGTGATAGATACAAACATGGGGTGAACTGGAACACTAAACCTTTAAATTTTTCCTTATTAACTACACTTTATTTGTTGGCAAATGAATTCTTTATCCCCATGACAGAAAATCTGTTGCTACTTACCAAAGAAACAACAAGTCAATACTACAAAAAGTTTAAGTGACTATAATACACAAGATACAGATGCATAACATTGTGATATAAACAAGTTATTTTGCTCCTTTGTTTCTTAGCTTCATTTCAAATGGACTGAGAGGTGAGACGTTGAAATCCTGTGGCCTGCAAGAAATGAAAACAATATCGCATGAACAAAATACATAAACATTACAATAAAATACTTTCCAATTGTACATTTAATATGGGTCAACGAACAAAACAATGCCTTTGTACATTGGCTAAGGAAAGATATACTTTCCGTAAAACGCATGCATTAAATTCTCCTAGAACACTGCTAAATTTCAAAGTAAAATCTTCTAGGTGAACTATCCCGATAGCTTATGCTGTTTAAAAGAATGCGCTGAGCAACCTTGTGCACGTTTTTGAAGTAGGCAATGAGGCACATCTATTGTATGGGGGTTAATGATATTCCCTGACTACCCAAAACACGGTAGGTGGAGCGGTGTTCGAACCCGTGGTCTACTGGTTGAAAGCCAACTGACTAAACCAATCAGTGGTAGCTCTATCTACGTTTAAGTGATGGGTTTATTGTGCCGGAACAAGGCTAGATTTAAATGATTAACTTGGTGTACTCAGTAAAACAGACGACTAAACATAAAGTGACGGTGCACATTTTGAACTTTAAAAACTGTCGCTCACATAACAGCTGCAAAACACCAGTAAAAAACATTGTTTGCAACAAAAGTCAAGAATTATTACAACGAGTCTTGAGTAACACATCATCTCTTCTGATCCCAATATGTTGTGGAATTATCCAATCGTCCGTGTGTGACTTATTCTCTTCACTAGTAATATACACTGGACAAAAGAGATGTATCGATGTGTACAAAGTGCATGATAGAGACGGATCGAACTACGTAGGTATTTAAATTACAGTTTAGTGTTCAATCTGTCAAATTTCTTTATAATATGCTGGAGGAAAACAAGAGAAAAGAGACAGACAAATAAAGAAGTAAGTAATCAAAGCAGAAGATTGAGTCAAAAACAACAGTTTTTAACCGATTACTTCTTACACTTAATTGACCACTACACAGCTTCTAGGCTGCTTTCTCTTTGTGTATTTACAGATGACAAAGAATGATGGAAATATCTTTAAGAAGTTGAAGATTTTCCTCGCTGATTTGCAACACACATCACCTGAACCAGAAGATATCAATAGAAAGTAAGTAAATGAAGACGAAAACGACATGAATGAACAAAGTATACCTACGAGAAGCAGCAAAACGAAAAAGGTTTGGAAAAGTATGAAAAGTGTAGCTTTATTACATATTTAACATTTGAAATAAAAAGGTGTGAATGCATGCACTCCACTGTAACCACTTTCAAACTATATTTCTTCAACTTTTCCCTCCTATGAGTTCAATGAAGAATACTAAATTTCTCTATGCTGCTCAAATCATCAACCAGGAATTGATCTCATATTTCATTTCAAACACTGTGAGGGTTTCATAGAATCTAATCACTACTACCTCAATTGACTCCCAAAGTCTCACACGAAAACATAACTCACCAAAGTGTTGCGATATTTTCCTCAGTGGTCCCAATGCAAAAGTGGACCGACAAACTTTGGTCGAAGCTATGCGTTAAGAAATAGACAGCTTTTATTGTTTAACCACTGGTTACTAACTAGTGTACTTAATCCAGTCCTATAAGGGGTCAATCGTGACCTGACTAGCTAGTGGTTAGGTCTCCGACTTCAGCATTGAATGACGCAGGCCCGAATCATCGACAGAACACCAGTTTCCCCACAGTTGCAAATAAGCCTTTCTGCCGTATTTTCTACCGACTAACTTCCAACATGTAATGCGCATAATACACTTACACTATCTCTGACTACGTTCTATCAAGTGAAAAAACTTGGTCGAAAATACCTTGAGCTGCAATCATAATCACCAGATATCTAATTAGTTTGTTCAACCATTTAAACTCAAAAGAGTTGAATTTTTCACTTTCAAAATGAAAACCAAATATTACAAAGAGAAACAAAATCCAATTACACAGACTATATGCGTGACTAACCAGTCAAAAAGTTTAGGGAACTCATCAAGTTCTTCTGAAGAATACTCATCAAGACGTTTAGGTACTTTCATGACTTGTGGTATTACTCCTGAAATGTTTGCAATAATGTCCTTAGGAACGGTCTAAATTGAAAAGTTAATTCCTACTTACTGATACTTACTTCAATGTCATCAGGGTATATATGAAGACGGGCTAACTGATATTTACGGGTTTCAGTATTTCGTAGGTTGGCTCTAACCTCTCGACGAATAACCTAAAGCATGAACAATAGAAAATTATGTGATATTAAATAAATGAATCTAAAGGCTCTAAACTGAACGCAAATGTCACGATTTATTTTACCAAGTGATATATCAGGATTGGTTATCATAAAATGAAATTTGGGGTAAAACAACAAAGACAAAGTTCCTATCAAAAGTCTCTCAGGTACCGATGAGACTATCTGAAATAGGTGCGGTTAGAAAGATAGGCCGTGCTGGTTTACGGTGAGAACTTTAGTTGTAGCAGGATAAGCACCAATATCTTTCAGATTACAAACTTACCAAGTTATTAATTCAGCCACACGACCTAAATGAAGAATAGATGCAAGTATCACTCCAATACCTGAAATTTTTGTGCGACTTATATGTGAATCCATGATTCGTTACTATCCATTTATCATCATACTACCTGCCCAGTCAAATATTAACATCCTGAATCTAAATCAAATATGTTGACATAACATTCCGTACATTTTCACTGCCAACAGACAAAACTTCAGAAGACTCTGTGCATAGACTTACTAGTGATGCATTTGTTGGAGCCCATGTTTTACAGAATGTGTCTATCATTAATTAATTAGCAATAAGTCTAAGAACCAAGTAGAAATTCTACAGAGATATTCTGCTGAAGCCAACAAACAGGATAATGACTGGTTCTATCTAAAAGCCTCCATATGATGCCCCCTATTACACAAGTGAGTGTATAAGACCACGTGTTCACTAGTTAACAGCTAGAAGATGTAATCCACCAGCCACATGAAGATTCATATTTCAGGTTGTAAATTACATCCATGGTTTGTGGAAGTGATGCTGATTCATCTCGCAGTCATCAAAATAGTGTCCCAACCAATAACTCAATGAAGATGATATTTCCAGAATACTGAGTATCTAACAAACAGACAGTAGATGTGAACCAAAGATTGAATACTAATGACCTGAAGGCTACATTAGCAGTAATAATTCGAACGAACCAGTCCCACTTGAAGACTTGTATCACTATACCTATGAAAAACCGTTACTTCATTTAGTTGTAATTTTAACAAGGTTTACTGAGGAATCAAACACATTGAGATTGCAAGGCATATTGCCACTGAACGACAACATAAAATAATAGAAGCGTTCAAAAACTTAATATTCAGGCAAAAACGAACTTTTGAGTGATTGTTGACGCTAATCTGGAGCTACGGTTCATTCTTATAGGAAGGCAACTTTCAACCACTTTGCTGCGTATTCGAACCTCACTCCAAATACCAAAGCTTGGGAAACCACATAGACAATAGCTGTGAGTGATTACCCAGTGCAGGAACATGACCGTGACTACTGAGTTAGTTCAGCTTCTTTACTGACACCAATGAGTATAAACAAAGAATAGGGCTTGAAAGTTTGTAAGCTACACACAGTTGATACCTACAAATTGCCTGCACCTAGTGTGTTTTCGAGGTTATGATCATGAGAAAAATTGAACCGAATAATTGAATGGTAGCATAATCAGTGTTATTCACTTAATTCACATGGAGAAGTTGCGTCATCTTGTCCCCCAGCTAACAACGACAGGTTATAAGCAGAATGTTACAAAATGACCGCATAACTCAAGAGATATCTATTATGTCCAAACTGTATGTAGTTCTTTTATAAACTTATTTTCAGATTAGAATTTACCATAAAGGCAATCAGACAAAGTTATGTGAGAGAATAAACAATGTGAAGATAACGGTTGGCGCGAAAATTCAAGCTTTACAAGATGCCAAACCAAGGATGCATCTGCATCACCGTGAACGACTTCCAGTTATGTCACCAACAGTCCTCAACCACTGATTCCTATCGTATAGGGGACCACAGTCACACAGTCTACATTTCCCCCACGCCACTCAGATCAAGAAATTTATGGACTGGTAGCACGTCTTCGTCTGGCCATCCTGAACCCTCTTCCAACCTAACCCAGCTTCCTCCAGTACAGCAAATCATGCGCAACACATGTCTAAGCTATCTCAGTCGATGAGTATTCGCAACCTCATCAATCGACTCTCCCAGTGCCTTTCACCTGACCAACACATTGCTCACACAGTAACTCCAGCAAACGAGAGCAATGCAAGACACCTATGATCAAAATCCTGCAATCGCTTCACATCTTATACTTTCAACAGCCATATAACAGCCGTACAACAGGCCAGAACGAGCTGCAGCGCAGTATACTCGTTCCTTTGGTAGATAGTTGGCACCAGAGATAACACGAGCCGATAAATGCCAAACGAACCCTCAGCATCTGAAATGAGACTTCGTCAGCAACCGGCCCGTTCGGGTTGATGCGACTACCCCAAATAAGTGAAGTGGTCAACACATCCCACCACTACCCTCTCTATCACTAAACTGAGGGTACTTGCAGTAGACCAGTCCTGGGGCATCATCTTATATTTGACAGGTGCGAAACCCATACCAAACTTACCCAGACTTATGCACAACGCGTTCAGAAGACAATGAGCTTTGCCAGCGTTTTCACCTAACTCGACAACATCGTCTGCATACTCCAAGTCAACCGGATGACCTCCAGGGAGTAAGTCAATCCCTGTGAGGTCAGATCTACCTAACGTTATGTCCATTAGTACGTCTATGATGAAGTTAAATAGGAACGGTGACAGTGGGAATCCCTGGCGGACACCACTAGTTCTCGTCAATTATGAAGACAACTCTCCATTAGCTCTTAGATGGCCGTTTGATTAGCGTTATATACTTCCATGGTACTCCTTTTACAGTCAGATACTGCCACGGCACGTGGCGGTCGACCGAGTGAAACGCCACCTTCAGGTCAAAAAATGTGGCAAGTGTTGACCACTAGTCGAAAGGTATGCCAGCATTTCAGAACCTGTCGGAGTGTGAAAATATGATCGATTCACCTCCCTCCAGGTCTAAAACCTGTCTGGTCTCCCCAATTATGCTGTTCTCGAGCTCCAGTTAGGCGTTGGAAAATTATAGACTCAAGGATCTTGGACACGATATTAATCAAACCAAGTCCCCCTTGTTTTTTTCAAGACTACTCTCCCTTCTTATGGACTAGGATAATCAGTGAAGTAGACCAATCTGACGGCACTACCTCTGGTTCCTATGCACTACATAGTACCTCCATCACCTTAATAGTAGTCGTCCCACAAAGTCATATCTCGAAAAAGATGGACAGAATAAGTTGCACGAAATGCTTTCACTCCACGAAAATGTACCATATGTTCTATCGGATTTATCGACAATATGTACTCTGAAATTCTCACAATCTTTCAGTTCTGTCAATCTGAAAACGAAAGCCGATACGTGGCGGAAGTTAAGCAGTTCAATTAACATTAAAAGTCATATAAATTATTTCCCTGTTAATTCGGATAATTTTTTTAGTAATCTTTATACTGTTGCAGTGTCCACATATCAGAAAGAAGCGTTATCTTTTAGGCTCAAATGTTGTGCTGCTTGAAAGCAGTCATCAGACTTCGGTATTCATGCACAGTTTGAAAATCTATATGACCACCTGAAACCCCTTGTTCTAACTTCAGCTGAAGATCAGTGGTGGTTGAAAGTCAAGATGGTGGATATCGCTCACCGTTTTGTGATAGCCATCAGAAGCAGAAAGGCATTTTGAACATTTCAGAGCCGTGAAAGAACTACGAGACAACCTCGATATTATCTTCACACCCGGCAAAGGCTAAGGTGTCATAATCATGGAGATAAAAATAGATATATCAGAGACTGATCTTTAGAAGACGTACAACCGTTACAAAGAATAGTGACCGCTAATCTGGTGAAACCTTTATCAACATCACTCAACAGCTATATGAAGACGCCACGTCCCAAGTGATTCACAATGGAAAGCTCAGTGACGCCTTTGAAGTGAAGACAGGAGTACGACAAGGCTGTCTACTATCACCGACGATCTTCCTGGCTGTGGTCGACTGGACCAGATCATGCAACAAACCGTGAGGAGCGAGAAGACGGGCATGCGCTGGACCGATGACAAGACCCTAGAAGATTTGGATTTCACCGATGATGATTTATGTCTAATGTCGCACAAACTCGAAGATCTACAGGCAAAAACCAATAAGTTGACAAAAGCAGCGAAGACAGGACTACAAGTGAATGTACAGAAAACAGAGGTGATGAAGATACCCAACCAACAACAACAAGCTCCAATCACCACCAACAGGAGAAATCTGAAGAAAGTCGTCTTTCACCTACCTAGGCAGCACCGTTGCAACTACAGGTGGTGGCACAGATGAGGATGTCAAAGTCGTCAGGATCGGGAAAGCATGACAGGCCTTTATTAAGCTGAAACCAGTGTGGAGATCTAATGCATTCAGCATAAAGCGCAAACAAGATATGGATTTTCAACACCAAAGTCAAGTCAGTACTTCTATATGGTTCGGAAACTTGGTGCGCCACGAAAAGCATTTCCAACAAAATACAGACATTCATCAACAGCTGCCGCCTACGCTCGCTCGGTACTGAAGATCAGATGGCCAGAAAGAATAAGCAACAAGGAACTCTGGCTGACGACGAACCAACCAAGAACCCATTGCCCAACAAATATGCAGAAGTGGAGATGGATTGGAGATACACGGAGAAGACCATTCAGGGACATCACGCGCCAGGCCCTCGAGTGGAACCCAAAGGGGAAACGACGGGTTGGGCGCCCGAGGGTGACATGGAGGAGATCATGTGAAGAAGAAATGAAAACTTCCGGGCTGTGTTGAAGCCAGGTTGAAAAGACTGTAGAGAACAGAGTGAAATGGAGACGTGCCACTGAGGCCCTATGTTTTACTAGGAACCCAAGGGACAAATAATAATAATCTGGTGAAACCGCTCGGAATGAATATTATTAACAGGGAAAAATCTGATTCATCGAAACCAAATGAGTCGCAGTTCCCACATCTTCATGGTTTGCCAAAACCCAACAACCCGGTACCTCCAGTAATGTCGATGTGCAAATCACAGGTGCATAAGTTAGCTGAGTGGCTAGTGGAACTATTGGATCCCACTGGGAAGTGATTCTGTATTACTTGAAGGATACAAATGAAGCGATCAAATGCCTTGATGATGTCAACATTAATAAAATTGCGTTCGTTAGACGTGAACTCACTATTCATCACTGTCCCTTTGGTTGAGACATTTGACATTTTATGTGATTATACTTCTATGCATAATTTTTCCATACCACTTTCCCTGCATCACCTAAAAGAGCCACCACTTTTATTTACAAGCAACACTAAATTTATATTCGTGTAAGCATTCCCGTCAGGTTGTTGGTGTTGCCATAAAAAGTCCCTCGAACCCTCTTTTCGCAGACATTTATGTCACACGTGAAAAACTTGGCAGGGAATCCAATTGAGAAAGCCCATCTATACCGAAGACATGTCGATGATATCCCGATTACGTGACAATCCAAGTCAGTTAACTCGAATTATAAACCGAGTGAACGAAATGCAGAGCAGCATATCCTTGACATGTATAGAAGAGGACGATGATTACTTGCCTTTCTTGAACATATTAATTGGTCGGTGGTAGGATGGATCCATAAAACGATCTATCGACAAAAAACCTGCATGGACACGGTAATATTTGAATTATCATCGCCTGTGTCTAGTTCGGTACAAGCAAACGTTAGTTATGTGCTAATTCAATCGAACTCAATGAATATGCACAGATGATAATTTGGAAGACGAGATAGGAGCATTGACTAAAACACTGAGAAAATAACTGTCCATCAAAACTTATTAGCCAGTACGAAGTAGCCAGAGTGCTGAAACTTGCTCTTCACTTTGTCCCGAAGAAAGACGTTTTTACCCGTCTTCCATACAAAGGTGACTCTCGTTATGTAATCCTTGAGCACAGACTTAACTCTGTTGTAAGAAAGACTCACTACGCAGCTAGGGTCTGATTTATATAAACCACCAAGCCTGTGTACTCTCCCAAACACTTACAACATGAGAACAACAGTGGTGAAAACTCACTAACTTGCCGCTATCATAGTAGGCGAAGCATGACTTACTTGAGATTCAGGTTTATATAGTACTTATTCATTTTTACTGATAGCATATCGTCCCAAATTAAGCTGAACAAAAGATTAATGAGATTAAATTGCACTAAAGAAGGTATAGGGCGTCTGGTTGAATTCTTTAAATGTATCAGTGGTCAAAGACCTTTGATTATATGGCCTAAAATTGATGACAATGGGAAAGCTGCATTCACTGTTAAACAGAATGTTTTGAACACTCACTGACTTTCACCTACTCATTTTTCTCTTCTTACCATGGATTTTTATCTGCTTTGATGTCATATTTCAACATGCTTCTTTGCATGCTACTGTGAAGTTCACAGTTTGAGCAAATGTACTTCTGTGCGTTCTACGTTGATTTTTGTATCTGTTTGATGTACGAACCGTTAACTTGATGTGAGGATTAAAGTTGAACATTACCTTTCTTCCTAAGAATACTAATATTGCGTCCCTAAACTGTTAGAAGCTGGCTACCGGTCCCAACTGTAAAATTCATAAGACAACGCATAATTAGCAAATTAAGCGTAACAATGAATCATGGGGAACAAGCTTTATGTGTAAATTCTTGCTTTACTCACCCATACCGTACTATTAGCTGTGCCAATATTCGAGACTCCTATAAGTTTTCACACTGAAGATTCATATAGATTAAATCTTACAATTCATGATTCTGGTGGTTTTCTGCAAATATCCATCATAATATCAAGAAAAGTGGAAACCAAATATGTTAATGATGATATATTATTCGAACGCACACGCTGTTGATGACGTAATAAATGCACTTTATCACGGAAACCTCACTATATATTGAAAACTTGAGTATGGATGTACCTCAAAAATAATCAGGCACAGCATATTACAATTTGGTCATATGAAAGGCGCTATTTAAGGCATTTTAACGACATCGCTTTTAGATGCACTACAAAACAATGCTTTACAACCAGCTCCTAGTCTTATATGTTGGGTTGTGGGTTTGTAGTACCAAATGATCCCCTAAAATCAATAACCTAGGCTGCAGTGAGACTCAACATTGATTCTGACCTCCATAGTTTTAACGGACTTGCTAAGCTGAAGGCACACGGTTACGCATCTAGACCAAATGGCACATTGTCGTGCTACGTTGCGCTGCTCGTACACAATTGTTTAGCCAGTTAGCCGGAAGGCATTGGTATTATGGCACGGCCTATCAGATATACTATTCCACCTGGCTACTAGTGTTCTTTCTTTGTCTCGCACTTGAGGGTTAATTGGAGGTACAAACAACAACCTATTGGCCGCTGTGTTTGTCAAGTATGCGTAAGGTCAATTTCTAAAGCATTACAGACTCACTTCAGTAGGATCACGCATATGAACTTCCTCCATAGTTTCTTCAGTGACATGCCTGGGAAACCTACAGCAATCGAAATACCATGAAAGATGCAAACCTTGAATGTGTAGGATAAAGAAACCGCTTCCAGTATCGACTATTATCTTTCGCAGCAATATGTCTGGAATTAAAAATGACAACGTGACTCCCCAAGTCACCTGAAAATTACAACAGATAATACACTTACTACAATCGTCATAGTACCGTATATGCTTGCCTTCCAAATACTTTGATATCTTTTCAGCTGAAAGCATAGGGCATTGCATAAAAGCATCATAAACGAACCATTCTTTTGCAAACGCCCTCCATTGCTAGGACACCATAATTACAGAGGCAAGGCACATACCAAAACCCGCCAATGAGACATCAATGACCAAATAAAGACTTAACAAGGAATCCTCTAATAACTTCGATAAGCCACAGCAGTAAAATGTTAGCTACACGACCTCAGTGGCCGACCTTGACAGGACAAATCTCCCACAAGCATCAGAATAGTGGTGCTTCAAATTCTCATACCACAGGAGTATCAAACGCGAAAACTTCCGGATTCTACTTCTGCCGAATAAGAACTGAGCGCATATTTACAACATTGTTATCACTAATAATTCATATATTCAAGTTGATAGGCTTCGAAACTTGTTGTCCACTTCAGATGGTTCAGAAGGTTGTTGACGGAATAGAAAAGGCTTTCGCTCAAGTGGCCTCGACGTTTGAACTCCATAGATCACTACTCCTTGTGGCTCTTAACCAGTTCACAAGCAGAGAGAGGGCATAAAGTGATAGAGGAGTGAAGGAAACTTGTTGGGGTCTTGACACTGAATTAATTAGGTGGACAAGTTAGTACGATGTATCCCAAAACAATTGTAACCCCGCAGTTCTCCGGTCTTCAGTACGTCTTGAATGCAGCTTGTTCAGGCTCTAGTAGAGCATCAACGACGCTCATCTATACGAACTATAGGAGTCGAGAGTGCAGACATTTCCTTTTTAGATGATGAATTAGGTACTACTCATTTATTTGAGATTGACAGGCCGAACACAGTGTTTTTAGCCAGATACTTCGTTTGGGTGTTCATCCAAGAAACTTCAAAAGACGTAGCTTAAATATCGGAATCAAGAGTTCTCGAAAGAGGAAGCTACATGGATGCCGATTGTAACGGCATGCCTACAACGATAAGTGCTATGTAACTGGGAAAATCAACGGCATTGGCTGAAATGAAGCAGATCCAGATTCATATCTGTCATTCAAAAATGAGAAGTTGTGGGCCTGTATCAGTCCTTTTTCGGTAGGCTTTTGTACTTGTCCGATCCCCTTTAGGACGAGTCAGTTAATGATGCGGACACCACTTCCTCTGGGAGCCGGTCCCAAGAGTTGATTACTCGACGCGACAACCAGTACTCCGCCGAGAATAAGTTCCCTCTTTGCTTTTGTGCCCTCCCACTGTGTCGTTTGAGGTGTCCCAACCTAGTGGGAAGGAAACGGGAGGATAGATCAAGTTCAGTCACTTCTTACAGCCCCGTATGGAACGACCAGATCTCCCCTCTGTCTGCGATTGGATAGAGAGGAGAGGTTCAGCTCCTTAAGTCGTTTTTCATAGGTTTGGCCAGCTGTCTCAGCAATCGTATGAATGGCCACCCTCAGAACTCTTCAGAAGGGTCTGCATCACCTTCGAGATGAGGATTTGCTTCCCCATTACAGTACTCTAATTTAGACCTAGGCAAGGATGTGTATAAGATGGTGGACATGCCACCACTTATTTTTGTAAACGTTCTACGTGATGCCCTAAGTGTCATAAAACTGCGAGTTGCTACCAATCGACAATGTGTCATGGTTTTCAAACCATAATTTACTGTGACTCCTGGATCACTGTGAGCCAATGCTGACGGTAGAGGAGTCCCACCAATATCGTAGGTGCTGCCGTGTGTCCAGAGTGCATGCCCACACATTTGCCTGCTTTGATAGACGTAAGCCACTCCTTCGACCAGGTAAACAAGCTGCCCAAGTCTACCGGGAGGGAACATATCCTCGTCACCCCTAATTTCCCGCCAGATTTTTACACCATCAGCGTAGAGAACTATAGGGGATTTCGCGATACTTGGCGGCTCACTTGCTTATGTGGGAAATAGCAGGGGACCCAGAAGTGTTCTTTGCCGTATCGGTCTCTCCACCGATTTCCGAGAGGAGAGTTGAGAATCGATTCTCACTCTTTGTCTTTTACATACAAAGAACTTTCTTGTCTGTGCAAACAGACTGCTGGTGATCCCAAAACTTTACAGTTTTCCCAGCAACCCGGAATGAGGTAGCTTGTCGAACGCCTTACTAAAACCTGTGAAAATGGCCTTTACTGGTATCCTATCTGCAACGGAAAAATGATCTGAAAACCCCCCTTGATCACACTATTTGACGGCATTGACATTTATTTGGATATTTTTACCCTCTTTATGGATGGTGTGCCTTTGACCCTAGCCGGTGTAATGTTATCTGCTTGTTTGACTGTCTTCTTTGACTTTGAACTCAGTGTTCGCCTTTGCATCATTGGGGCTTATCATGAATTTTTAACCTTCCTATTCAGTGACGCCAGACTGTTGACAACTTGACGTTGTGCTCTGAGTGAACTGTGATGGCTTTCTCAATTACTCTTTCTAGGATGTTTACCACAGCACTAGTCAAACTTATCGGCCTGTAATTTGATGGTTGCTGCCTAGAACCTGCTTTGTATGTAGTTGTTACTGTGGAGGAATGTTTCTTTACTGAGGGAAAGTCCAAATATGGCAACCGGTGGGCTGGCTACACAGAGTGCAAGCTCTGCGAGGAGCCTTGGGTGCAGCCCATCACATCCTGCTGATCTTTCTACATTGAGAGTGCTTGGTGTCTGAAATACATCATTGCAGTCGACATCCGCAGAGTCTATTCTGCTTGATGCCAATGCTTCTGTCACTGAAAAAGCGTCCACGGAAGATTCCTCTGTGAAAGCGTCAGCAAATATCTAACCATGACTCCCGCTCTTTCCTTATTGTCTTCAATCAAACGGTCAGTTTCTGTCCCTTTGATTAGGGCAGATATACCACGATACATCTTAATTCTTCAGTTCGTGTAAGGAAATAAACTCCTTGGATGTTGCAATGCAGCCTGGGCAAGACGTGTTTCAAAGCACATTCGAGACCAGCGGATAGCAGCAATAAATTTATTTCTGGCTTCTTTGTGACGCTCCGTCATCTCGGGAGTACTTTGGTGGATGACAAAGCTCCAACACTTTTCCTACGTAGTAGTAAGATTCAAATTTCGTAGTTTATCCACGTGGGACAATGTTTTCGTTTTCTCGAAACAGCCCACGTAATGGACTGTTGAGTCGCTCGTGCATAGAACTGTTTGAAGCAGCACCATGCAGCTTCAACCAAGGCCTCTGAACTGACCGTTCAGCCCCCCGAAAGAGGCTGCCAAGTTACTAGCTTCCATATTCGCTCTTCGTGCATCGGATCTTGCCGTGGCACCAGCCTGGTACAAGACGGTCAACGTAAATCTGAAGATGACCGGGGCTTGATCACTTTTGCCGAAGGGTGCAAGGTGCTGGATGAAGCATCCATCATCCACATGTGAGAATGACAAGTCTAGAACCGATGGGGTATGCTGATGATCATATCTGGTTGCTGTCCCAATGTCCTGTATAAAAATCAATGGAGCTGATGTTGGCACTAAACTGTGATCTAACGAGTTACGTGATGCTTCTGTTGTAAGTCTATCCCAATCAACTGGCGGTGCGACGAGGTCTCTTACAACTAGGCACTGACAGATATACATACATCCAGAGTGTCAGCTTACTCAAAAGGAAGTTTTCCGCTTCAAATTCTTGAGGTTGATGTGCTGTGATTACGCCCACATCTTGTCCCTTGTATTTTAGTCGGCAGCGCAGCATTTCTCAGGTCTCACTTTCACGTGCAGCCGTTTCTATGGCCTTCACAGTTAGGGCATTCTTTACGCGGAAGATGAGACCACCCCCTCTGCGTGTCAACCTGTCACTTATAAGAGGAACAAATCTCTGTTAATGTGTTTCATGGTCACTGATCCAAGAAGGGAGTCAAGTTTCTGAAATGGCGATGGCGTCGGGATTTTCTATGCTCATCATATTAATAAGCTCAGTCAACTTGCTTAAGCAACTATATGAATGTGTATACAAGACGACGAAACTACTTGAAGGAGTTTCCGTCCTATTTATAAAGGCTTCGGCATCATCTGTCGCCGAAACCTCACTACACGAAAACCCACTGCTTTTAGATCTTACCCTCCTGCTGCCAGTCTGGATTTTAGTTCTGCCTCTGCTCCTCGCTTTTGGTTCGATCGACAATAACCAAATCCTCACTCATGAACACTCCGGATTCTCGAAGTCTATGAGCGTTCTTCAGAATCTGATCCCTCTCTTCTGCCGACTTGAACACGACCTTGAGTAGCCGAAACTCATTTTAAGCACGGACCGTCTCCTTTTTACATAATCTATATGTCTTGAGTTGGACGGCTGCTGGTATGTTTGCCTGTAAAAGCTGGCTTATCAAGTTTTTTACTTTGCCGAGACCATGTTGGAAACATTTACGCGGTTCAGGGTTTCTACCTTTTTCCATTCCGCCGAAGACTACATACCTGTCAAGGGGCTCTACTTTGTCTTTGCTCCGTGGCGTGACGACAGTTGGTTCGATCACCGTTAGCGGCCTCCTGGCCTGCCGTTTCTCAGAGTTGGGTGTGTTAGGCCTACCAAGGCCTATTCCATTGGCCTTGACACTGGCAGTCCCAGAACAGATTTGCATCCTAGTCTGCGTAGACTTCGTCACAGATTGGGTCGCCGAGCTGGGTTTGACCTGTGGTCGGCACTGCGGGTGTTTCACTCAAACCCCTCACAGGTGTTGTGCATTGCGTAGTTAGGCCACCGTCTACCTTGTTGCTACCGTGGCTCAATCAAGACTAACTCCGACGCGAACGGAAGGACTTCATCTTCATCCCTATCTAACAGATAGTCTTCAGTGGAGTTAAGTAAATAAATAAATATTTTATTCTAGGGTTTGAATTTAACATGAAAAAAGCCGGTTTACGGGCCTCATCAAATTGATAAATGCAGAGAAACCTAAACGTTTTGGGCAGTTCTGAATGGTACATAAGCAGGACACTGAATTTTATCATGATATCAAGTGAAAAAAGTTATGAAAAGAGCAAGGAAATATCATTTCACAGTACATATGCATCGTTCTGAAATTGGATCGTTCCTACTCACAATCCTTTTTTTCATGCCATAGTGGCATCAAACGGCGCAATATTCTGTGTTCGCTTTGAGTAGTCGACATGATTGACCCATCTACAAAATCCAGTGTTTTGTCGGATAAACGTCTACTTTAACAGCAGTTCTTTTGTTGGAAGCTTTATTGAACAATAATAGCCTACTTCAGTGATTCCGGGAATAAGTAAACGTTCATACAATTATGTGACGGGCCAGAAATTGGAGA